AATTTCCAGGGCAGTCTTATAACCAAAGACAACCGAAATCTAGAAAAATAAATGTAGCAAGAAATTAAAATTTCTTTCAATTTCAATCAAAAATACCTGAAAATAACCATAGTTTATCTTGTAATTAGAATGTTGATCAGATAGCTCTTTTGTCACCTTATTTTAAGCAGGGTTTTTTTGGGGTTTTTTTTTGCTAATTATTGGGTTGTCGGAAAAGTCATGATGCATTTTTGCAACGAAAAACATACAAAAAATACGTCATGACTTTTCTGACAACCCAATAAATACCCTTTAGTTAACAAACATGGTTCCACGTGTTACCATAAGGATAAATCTTGAAAACAGTTTGATAAATGAAAGAAGCCAGTCACGAGAAAACACATATTATGATTCCATTCATATGAAATGTCTAGAATAGTTAAATCAATAGAAACAAAAAGCAACATAGTGGTTGCATAGGGCTGGGGTGTGGGGGAGATAGAGATTGGGGTGTGATAGCTAAAGGGTACTGGGTTCCTTTTTGAGGTCATAAAAATGTTTTAAAATTGACTGGTGATAGTTGCACATATCTGTGAATATACTAAAAACCACTGAATTGTATATTCTAAATGGGTGAATTGCATGGTATGTGAATTTCATCTCAATGAAACTTTAAAAAAATATAGTTCCGGGCCGGCTGAGTGGCTCAGTTGGTTAAGAGCTCGCTCAAGAGTTTGAGCTCTGAGCAACAGCGGTTCGAGTCAGCCCGAGCTGAGCAGCCTCTGAGCTGCCAACAGGTGGCAGGATGGCTCAGCTAAAAAAAAAAAAATAAAAAAAAAATAGTTCCTATAATTTCATGCATTCATGGAAAGACCAGAGAAAAAAGATGAAAAATCTTTGAAAAATCTTTTGGAGGTGACAGGGCAGAAGTTTTACTATTTCTATGCAAATCAAAACAGGCTCCCAGTTTGCCAATTTGTTTTCTTCTCCTTTGGAGTCTAAGGTTGATGGACCTCCATTTTTTTACCACTGAAGGTTGAATAAAACTCCCCACCTTGGTCAGTCTGTTGGGAGTGGTGGTGAGGGTTTATATTTATTCCTGTGCAAAATAAACTACGACTCTTAATCTCAGGCTTGGGGACTAAACAGAAGGGTTATTTTGTTTTCTCTTTGCCACAGAAAATTGTGTTGGATAGACAAAATGCCCAGTTGATTGGAAGGACATCTCTGCTTTTAGCCACTGGCTGTATTTCTCTAGACTACAACTGAGAAAAGAGATAGACGTTTGGCTCCCTATATTGACATTTCATACGGCTCCCGGTTGGATAGTCCCTGAGACAAGACTAAGCACTGACAACCCTGCTCCTTTTCTGATGAAATTTCCAAGGGCTCCTTTTGTTCTGTCTTCACAAAACACGCTGCCCTGAAGCTAAATAAAACTGCCTATGTTGTGTCGGTATCACACTCAGTTTTGGTTTTTTAATTTCTACCTGCTTTTGGAGGAGCTGATATCATTTCCCACATTTCTGGTTGGGGGAAAACTCCTACAAAAAGTGGAAACTCCTCATTCACATCCAAAGAGGTGTCAGTAAAAAAAAGATGATGGTGTTATGGACAGAAATAACCCACTGATGAGCAATTGTGAGCATGTGTAAGAGGAGAGAAAGTTCTGAGATTCTATGATGGTCAAGAAGCCCAGGTAGGTTCATGTTAAACTGCTCAATATGGCTGACTCAGGTTATTCAAAATGAAAATACTGGCCAGCTGAGTGGCTCAGTTGGTTGAGAGCTCGCTCAAGAGTTTGAGCTCTGAGCAACAGCGGTTCGATGCCCAGCCCGAGCTGAGCTGCCGCTGAGCTGCCAACCGGTGGCAGGATGGCTCAGCTAAAAAAAAAAAAAAAAAGAAAGAAAAGAAAATACCAATTGCTCTCAAACCCATGGTTGGGGTGACATTTAGTCCACTAACCTCCAAACCCAAGTGACAGCAGTGAAATTCCACCTAATTTAACCTTGATGTATAGTATCCAGACAGGAAGTAAAACAGGCATGGCCCTGGCTCACACTTCTTTTATTTCACGTTTTGGGTTCCAAGGCGTGCTCAAGTTATCACTTCCCCCACCCCAAACATGATGCAGGTGTGTGTTAATACTTTAGAATGGAGGTCCACAATCAGGTATACCGAATGAATGCTGCCTAAAAACAGCTATGGGATTCAGGCCAGGATTAAGTGAGGCATTGTCAAGTGTTCTGCATGCTGGGCAATAAATGTGACTCAGTATCTGGGACACAGCTCACCACATGTTAATTGATAGAGCCAGTTTGTTTCCAGGAACCCATCCTTGAACACACTCATATGCTTGCCTGAAAACACTGTTCAGAAGGGATTTCCCAAAGCCCCAGAAATAAAAATCTCTTTAGGCCAAAAAGTTTGCGTTGGAGAATTTAGAAAAGTAGTTGGACTCCTTAAGAGAAATAGAAGGGGGATGTGACATGGTTCTGCCATGAAATTCTACTGATTTTTAAATATAAAAAGTAACTCAGTGTATATTTTTATGCAGAGGACCACCTAATTTGGTATTAAAAATTTGTCCTGAGCTAGGCTGTGAAGCGTTCACAACTAGCTGGGGCCAAAGCTGGTGGAATATCTTATTCTACCCACCCCTCGCTCCCAACACACACTCCGTCCGGGCAGAGACAGGCAATAGCCGTATGGGCAAAATGCCCTCTTGGTTAGGAAGATGTCTCTGCTTTTAACCACTGGCTTGTATTTATTTAGGATACAACCTTGAATCACATGCCAGATTTCTTCACTCTCATCTCTTAATCATATGCAAAATATGCACGCTCCCTCTCCACCCCCTCACTCGCCTTTGCTCCTGTGTTAAAGAAGGATGAGTCACATACACACATACACACACAGAGTTATAAATCATCTGGAGAGGATTTCCAATATCCTAGGAAATACTTCTCTCTGGTTTTGGCACTAAGCTATTTTCTCTGGGAAAATATTTATCTAGTTTTACACAAGTTGCTGTAGGCCAAAATATTGATAGCAGAGTAACTTTAAAAAAAAAATTATGACAACGACTTTAATTTAGAACCTGGATCACCTGCCCCAGAAAAACCTCAAGAGTTTGTTAAAATTCAGATTCCAGGATCTCACCCCAGGCCCCCTGAGTCTGTCCTGGGTCACAGAGGGTGGAGCCTCTGTGCCTTTAACAAATTTCCCAGGTGATTCCAGTGCACACTAGAGTTTGCTTTGCCCACTAGTAAGATTATGGCAAACGCTCCTGTCATGATATCACAAAGGTTAGAACAACAAAATCAAAATCCTTGAAAGTGAATAATTTATGTCCTTGGGATTTCTGAATCATATCCTTATAGTTGCTACATTTTGGACTGTAAGCCAAAGAAGGCAAAAGCAAAAAGTCAATGTATCTTTGACCAATAGTTTCTATCAGGTGCATATTATTCAACAACCTCCCCCATGAAAGTTCCAAGTTCACAGTTTTGCAGATACAGAGCAGTCTAGATTCAGTTTACAGCTGTAATTATGTATTTTTTTATTTCTAGCTACATGAGTTTAGTGTGATGTGTCTCTGCTTAGTCTATCAATCAGCATGGAGTCTTCTAGGATCATGTAAAACAGATTTTATTAATGAGGTAACATTAAGTAAAAAGGCAGGCCACAAAAAAGCAGGCTTACAAAGTTCCAATTTGTAAATAGAGACTGAACAAGTAACCACAAATCATCATCAGGTTTTTGTGTTAGGGTTAGCTCCTTGTCCCCTTAAGCAACCACTAAATTTATGTTTATTTTTAAAATTAAAAAATGATAAACACACACTTTAAAATGTTGACTTCTCAGTTAAAAATATCATCACCAGTAAAAATTTTAACTCATTACTAAATCAATTTCAAAAGCACTAATTAAGAAAAATGTATTTATAAGCCTGAAATCCTAATACAACTATTTTAATTTTTCCATTTCCTTTCTAAACTTTATTTACAGGCATGCATACATGATTTTAACATATTTGTAATTTTAGTTTATCTACAAATTTGAGCTCTGCTTTTTCTACTTTGCATTATTTTATAAATATGTTTGCACATTACTGCACAGCTTCAGAATTATTTTAAATGCTACATTTTTTAGAAAGTTGACATATCGTACTTTAACCATTCCTGTATGTAGGAACATTTATTTTTGTTGTACGTAGTTTCAAGTTATTATAAATAACAGAATCATTTTTGTATATGAGGTTTTCATTTTCTTTTAAAAGTTATTTCTTTAGAATAAATTCTCAGCAATGGTTTTACTACTTCAAAAGGCATGAACACTTTTACAAGCACTAATATATAACTTAGTTTCCTTCAAAAAATTATATCAATTTTCATTACCATAAGCTTTGTGAAAAAGAACTATAGTCCTAAAAAGATTGAAAGGTGTTTATTTTTTTCTAAAGTCTTTCCCTTTATTTTTGTTACTGTTTTAATTTTTATTTGTTCATTATGATTAATAATTTTTAAGCTATCAATATACCAGGAACCATTCTAAGGGGTTTTCATACATAACAATCAGGTTTTTCTGTAAGACTAATTTAAAGAAACCTTCGATGCATGAAAGTTATAAATACCTACCCTCTATCTGTTAGGTATAATAAAACAAAACTTAAAATTTTCAGAAAATAAATAATCTTATTTCATAGAGGTGGAAAGACACAGAAAATTTAACTATGAAGTAAAAAAACCTCTATTCTAGATTTTCCAGTACATCTAATTTTTGTACCTCAGAAGAACAAATTAATTCAAAGGAATAAGAGTTTTTTATTACTGAGAAAAAAACTTTTTTTTTCAGAATTAGAAAGTTCATTTAATCCATATCTTCTTTTTTAAAAAATGATTAGATGACCCTTTTATTTAAAAGTCCATTAAGGGATTGGGATGATAAAATGCAAAATTACAGTAATTCCAATAATGTTTTTTAAATAATTAAGGAAACCATTTAAAAAAATGACCTACCTGATCTCACCAAGCACATCAAACTGATGAAGAAGTATATTCTCAGCATATGGAAACTGGAGAGTGTGTCACATTCACAAGAAAAATTATTTCCTTAGCAGAGCCTTAGTTTCCACCACGCTTTGCTCAGAGAGAGATCAAGTGACTAATCCAGAGGTGTGGTGACAACAGGAAGTTCCTGAGAGACTATTATCAGGTCCCAGCCCTTCCAGGATATTTGACTTCTCCTCATTTCGATAAAAGGTCAGGTACGTTTCTGTCTTGCACAATTTTATGCATATCTTAATATTATAATACATATTTGCAGAATGACGTGTTCAAAACAGTTTCATTCTTTGTGGGCGGTTTATTAGCCCTTTGGCTTGGTGTGTTGAGATCAAGTGTGATTTGAGATATTTTCCTCTCCAGTCAGTATTCTGGTTGCCCTTGTACACAAAACTACTTTTTATATTAATTCACACAATCATTCCTCATAGGGCAGTCTTTAGGTTGTGAGAACGTTTCATTAAGTCCAATCATATGCCCACATTTGTCAAAATATGTTTCAGATGAAAGGAAACGTTTTTATGGTATTGTATATCTTTATTTTTATTTCTTCTCATCCAGAGTTCCCATCTAGCTATTAGTTCTTTTTCTTTTTTTAAGGGAAAGTAAATGCAAAGACTTTAAATAAAGAACTATGCCAGAATCCATCCACCTCTGTAGTGGAAGTAATGAAACTGTGCCCCACAGCTACAAGGTAATTTAATTCCTTTTCTAGCAGAAGTGCTTGCAACACTTACTCAGACCTCTAGTGGTCTGGTGGTCTGGAGCTTAAAAATAAACTAATAAATAAAGACACAAACAATTTAAAAATATTTTTTCATCCAAAGCATCAGGCAAAAGCTACTTTCTAGTCAGTTGGCACTGTCTATCTGAAGTGTGAGTTTCTGAAGTAAGAGCATCTCTGACATAAATGTATCAGTTCTCAGCACCCCCATTTGCAGGAAATTCCTTGTGGGAAGTAGATTTTAGCAATGCTTCTCCAGGAATGAGTACATCAGGATCACTTGGGGGGGCTTTAAAAAGTATGGTGTATGTATTTCTGTGTCACACCTCAGACTTAATGAATGCTAAGGCTTCCTAGCTCAGGTCCACTGACCTGGTTTCAAATCCCATGCTTCCCACTCACGAGGTGTGTGGCCATAGGAAAATATTTAAGGAAAATATTAAACTGTGAAATGGAGATAATAAAACCACACATCTCACAGGGTTGTTACAAGAATTAAATGAGACATTACAGCTTAAGTTTTTAGCACTGTACCTACTACCAAGGTAAGCGCACTCGCCACTTGGTAACGTTAGCTATTACCTAACTGGTCACACAAGCTGCACCTTTCCATCCCCTCAGAAGGCGGACTGAGACTGCACACTGCTGAGAAGAGGGATCAAGTGGAGAACACCTGTGGGATTTTAGAAATGGAGGGCACCTTACAGGAGTAATGTTTCAGGTGAATTACTTTAGTCTATTTTTGTATTTTGTCTCCTGCTTGGAGAAATAAATTAGAGAGATGTAAATGGGAAAACCAAATAGGTGACCCACTAGCTTTTTTATTTTTCCATTTACAAAAAGCTTTACTAATTTGAAAACGACTGCCTTCTGGAATAAATGGAGAATTGTTTCACATTCTCTTAGGAGTGCATTTATGGAGTGCGTTGCTCCCTGCTGGATCGGTGTATTTGCCTGATAAATATTTGTTGAGCTCCTATCAGTTTTAGTACCATGCCATGTATTTATCTGGACAGAGCCAGTGTATATTTTCCTGGAAACCAGCCAATTATAGGAATAAAAATCATTTCCGTGGAGAGGCTTTGTGTTACTTTTAACATCTTTGTGTTACTACTAATGATTTTTTCCCTCTGATGGGCACAGAAAGTCCCCCAACTTCCTAGCTGTGTGCTCCTGTCTACTTCCAGAATTCAAAATGGTACAAGGATCAGTGGGAGGACCCATTCCCTCTCTTTTGGGTTAGTGAGAAATACCAAAACAAAACAAAACAAAACATTCCAAAGAATGGGAGAAGAGAAGAGGAAGGGAGGACTGACTGGAGAATGGTGTGACTATAAAGGTATAGCCCAAAAAATCTTTGACAGGTGGGTTAATTCTGTCTCTTGACTGTGGTGGTGGTAATAGGAATCCACACATGTGATAAGATTCTGTAGACACACACACACACACACACACACACACACACACACACACACACACACGAGCATGTAAAACTGGTAAAATCTAAGGTCTGAGGATTGTACTAATATCAATTTTTTGGTTTTGATAGTGCATTCTAGTTATGTAAGATGTTACAGTGTGGGGTGGGGGGTGGGGGGAGTTGTTGAGGATACATGGGACATCCCTGTTCTATTTTTGCAACTTCCTGTGAACCTATATTTATTTCCAAATAAAAGTTTCTAAAATTCCAAAAGATGAGCCAACTCATAACCATTTGAATGTTAACATTTAGTCAAAGGTATTCTGAGGAAAACCATCCCCTCATTTCTCATCAGGTAGTCAAAAGTGAATAATGGTCAATTTTCTCAATATTATGACCCTGATAAATGATCACAGCTCAAGACTATCACAATTTTCCTCATTTCCAGTCTAATATTGTGTACTGGCTTTTTTTTTTTTTAAACCTAGAAATCACTTGCTACAGAGAGCAGGGTAGAAACAAGTGGGCAAGCTTCCAAATGCATGGACAGGAAAAACAGGTATGGAAGTATAATGGAACTGAGGGGAGGTGGTTTTATAACTCTCATTGGCTTCAATAGTCAGGAAAGGTGACCTACAAACCCTGACAATTAAGTTCTCAAACTTGCCACCGTACGCTTATATTGGCAGCACTGAAAAAACAGCTTGGCAAGGTTTCATAACCTTGGTATATCAGTGTCTCACAGCTGTGTTTGTGTTAAAGTGTGGCGGTGTCTTGCTGACTGGCGTTCATTATTGTTGTTGCGTGTTTTTTGTGTGCCGTCGCGAGAATGTCTGAGCTTGAATTAGAGCAATGAACAAATGTTAAATTTCTTGTTAAACTTGGCAAGAGTGAAAGTGAAATCAGGGACATGAGAGTCCAATTTATGGGGATAATGCCATGAAGAAAACGGCAGTGTACAAATGGATTAAATTTTTTTCTGAGGGGAGAGAACACGTCACTCATGAAGAGAGGTCAGGGCAGCCAATAACAAGCAGAACTGATGAAAACATTGCAAAAATTCATCAAATTGCACGTTAAAATCATCAGCTGACTGTGAGAAGCCTAGCAGACCAAGTAAACATCAATAGAGAAACAGTTAGGAAAATCTTAATTGAAAATGTTGGCATAAGAAAGGTGTGTGCAAAAATGGTCCCGGGGCTGGCGAGTGGCGCGATGGTTGGGAGCTGGTTTGGGATGCCGGAGGGCCCCGGTTCGGATCCCGCATGTGAGGGCCAGTGACACTGCCCTCTACGGCTGGGATGCTGAGCAGCGGCTCGACCTGGAGCTGGGCTGCCGTGGGTCGCCGATGACAGTGTGGGCTGCAGCCCTTGTGGTAGTGGGTTGCCGTGGGCTGCTGTGTGTGGCTGGCGGCCAGCGTGAGCAGCCAGCAGCCGCAGTGAGCGGCCGTCCAGAGGCCAGCGACTGGTCTGCCTCGCCCGGGAGGAGCACAATGATGGTGCCAGCTTGGGCTGATGAGGCGGCGTCCTTCACGGCTGGACTGAGGAACAAAAGGGATGGCGGCTTGTCTGTTCCCCTTCCCTCAGTACCCCAGCGCTGTTCCCAGCCCCCCAATTCCCCAATAAAAATCTTAAAAAAAAAAAAAAAGGTCCCGAAGGAGCTTACCGATGAACAAAAGCAAAGGAGAGTCAAAGTTTGCCAAGACCTTTTGGAGAGGCAAGATGGTTAACACTGGTGGTGAAACACAGGTTATTAATATAACCCTAAAACAAAGCATCCAAGTGCACAATGGAAGTCAGTTAATTCTCCACGACCAAAAAATTCCATCAGTCCAAATCAAGAGTCAAAAGGATGTTGCTAACCTTTTTTGATATCAGAGGGATTATTCATTATGAATTTGTACCAACTGGACAAACAGTTAACCAACTTTACTCTTTGGAAGTGCTGAAAAGGCTGTGTGAAAAAGTTAGATGAAAACGACCTGAACTTTTCATCAACAATTCATGGCTCTTGCATCACGACAATAAACCAGCTCACACTGCACTGTCTGTGAGGGAGTTTTTAGCCAGTAAACAGATAACTGTATTGGAACACCCTCCCTACTCACCTGATCTTGTCCTCAATGACTTCTTTCTTTACCCGAAGATAAAGGAAATATTGAAAGGAAGACAATTTGATGACATTTAGGACATCAAGGGTAATACGATGACAGCTCTGATGGACATTCCAGAAAGAGTTCCAAGATTGCTTTGAAGGGTGGACTAGGTGCTGGTGTCAGTGCATAGCTTCCCAAGGGGAGTACTTCGAAGGTGACCGTAGTGATATTCAGCAATGAGATATGTAGCACACTTTCTAGGATAAGTTCGCGAATGTAATTATCAGACCTCGATGTCCCCTCCCACCCAGGTCTAGAACTCCAAGCTGGTATATGATTCTCTTATATAATAATACAAAATAAATATAATAAATAATATATAATCATATATAATTAATAATATAAACATATATTAGATAACATACTTATGTTACATTTTTAACATCAGTATATGAATCACTTTTTTAGGTAGTTTATTCCAAAACAAGAAGTAAAACATCCTCATACCACTTTTTGGGCCTAAGAAGCATTTTTCACAGAATAGAGCTACTTTGTTTTACGAACCATAACTTCCTTACAAACATTGTATCAAACAAAATCAATGCAAGTCCAGTGCTTTCCGTAACTGTTTTCAGGGAGGCTGCACAGAACATTTCAAGGAGAGACTGCTCTATCAAGGCCTGTATGCACACTGGCAAAACAGAGGCAAAGTGCTTTTACTTACTAAAATTTCTAAAAATAAAATCAACAAAAACTTCAGGGCAATGTCCCGTATTTACTGTCCATCAGTACCATGTGTTTTAGATTTATTTGAATCTTAAGCTGTTGTTTTAAAACATTATGATTAGAATGAGATTTGTTTGGGGCCGGCCGAGTGGCACGTTGGTTAAGAGCTGGCTTGGGACG